TTCAACAAAACTTCACAGGACTACGTAAAATTACCTTGCGGTGGTTCTGACAGTGCCAAAAATTGGAAAAATACAATTGTTTTTGCACGAAATCAATTGGAATACATTGTATGTATTAACACGCATTAAGATTAACACTCTCATTCAGACTCATTAGAAAACAATTCAGAGTTAATAACACATTCTCGAATTTCCTCCTTATTCTGTTGGTAGTGATTTCCCAAGCGTAGCTTAGATGTAGCACAAGGCTAAAAGTAGGGGGGCACCCAGTGAGGATCGAACTCACTACTCAGTCATAATTGTTCTAGCGAGACAAGCTTGCTAACCAATACAGCGCCTTGAGGTACTCATAAATGATTTTCTAGGCGCAGGTCACAAGGTCGAAAGTTTGGGGCACCCAGTGAGGATCGAACTCATTATTCAGTCGTAACTATTTGGGCGAGACAAGCTTGCTGACAATTACACCACGCCGAGCTGCCCTAAAAAGATTTTCTAAGCGTAACTTAGATGTGGCACAAGGCCAAAAGTAAGGGGTACCTAGTGAGGATCGAACTCACTTTTCAGTCGTAATTGTTCTAGCGAGACAAGCTTGCCAACAATTACACCACGCCGGGTGCCCCCTTATTCTCTTGGTATAGTAAGCCGAAGGGTGCACATCCTACGCATACCCCACCAAAATATTACCATGCCCCATCGGTGGGGCATGCGCCCCACGTTGGAAATCGTTTTTTCTCTACCATCTTGTATTGTATATTATCATCCGCTTTAAAAAGATTGTGTTTATATTTAAGATGTGCAGATGACACAATGTTGATGGCAGACTCGGAAGAAAAAACCAAAAGAGCCTTTAGACAAGACAATAAAAGAAAGCTGGAATAAAGGACTAACTGTAAGAAGAATTTCAAATTCTCTGTAAAAGACCCCCGAGCTTACGTATCAGAGACATCAAAAGACCGGCATTTAACTATCCGGATGGAGTGTTTTCTCTTTAAATAATTTTCTGTTTTAGTCCCTAAATATTTTAATTTTAATCAATTTTATATGTTAAATAATTTTTTGGGGAAAAAAAAAAAACTATGACAAATTGGAAAATTTTTTTGTGTAACGCGTCTCCTACTTTAAGACATCATCGGATTAAAGCAATGATTCCCACCGATAGGGCGCAGGCCTCACCGGTTGGGCATGGTAATATTTTGGTGGGACGTGCGTACTTTGTACAACCTTCGGCTTACTATACCAACGTGAGCTCAAATTTCATTTTGCATTATTATTTCATGATTAAAATGATTACAGAATAATCTTTCATTCAAATGTTTTATATTTCTGCCTTTCAGTTCTCTATTATATGTTTTGAAACTATATATATATCTTTTCGTTTTTTTTTAATTTTTCTCTTTCATGGACGCCATTGTCTTTCGAGGCTTGTTTAGAGACCAAGTTAATTTTCAGTTCTCTATTATATGTTTTGAAACTATATATATTTAACTATCTTTTTGTTTTTTTAATTCTTCTCTTTCATGGACGCCATTGTCTTTGGAGGCTTATTTAGAGACGAAGTTAATTGTCTTTTAAGCTTCCTTCACGTGAATTACTTTAAAATTTTGAATATGTAAGAATTAAATATTATAGGGGGTGGGGGCAGAAAAATTTTATAAATACCAAAGTGGAGTATGGCCCGAAATCGTTTGGGAACCACTGGATTAAATTGATTTTTACGTTAATGCGACTAGACGTGGTAGAGAGGACGCTAAGAGTTTTAAATTATTTCTTTAATGTACGTCTTGGGTAAATTGTCTAGCCAATTTCATTAATTTTTTTTCCTTTTTGTTTATTCTTTTATCACTTTCGTTATTAAATATCCCACATAAATAATAGAAGAGCCGCCAAGAAAGGTGAAATGTCGTAAGAACCTGAACATAAATTTACTGTTTATTATCTCGCGATTAAAGCACTTTCTAAACATTTTCGTCTTTGTAAATTGCTTTCTCTTTTAATTTAAAGTAGCAATTAGATTAAAAGTATGGCCAAACTCATTACGGTGAAAAACTAATGCATTTAATGTGTTGTTTTGTAAAAGATCTCTTTTGTATTCATATATTTTATTTAAATTCCTTGAGGTTTCTCCTATGTATTTCCTGTGACAGTTATTACAAGTGATAGTATAAATTCCTCCTTCTAGGTTTAGCCTATTATTTTGTTCTGTATATGTTGTTCTAACCACCAACTCTAACACAACTGCAACTGAAAAGAATTTATTTAAGTTTAACATAAATTAGAAATAGTTGTAAGAAGTTAAGCTTAGATAAATTCTTTTCATTTGTGTTAGAGTTGGTGGGTAGAACAATATATTTTCATTTTCGTTGAGTTTGTCGGAAAGGAATGCTTTTCTAAAATATATTAAGCAAAAATTTAATTAAAATTCTCAGCCTCTCCTCTCCTTTGTACGCATGTGTCGTATGAAACGCGTCAGACTAAAACTATTTTCCACTTTGTCATTTGTGCTTTTATTGATATATAAATATTTACGTTTTCCAATATTAACTAATGTGTACGTGATGGTCCTGGCAGCACGTATGTTCGATGCCAGGGAAAATGCGGATTTCGAATAATTTATTTCAATTCCGGCAGTTCGTTTCCACTTGAAAAGATGGCGCAACTCGATCTTCTTTTCATTCGCCTGAATTAGAACAATAACGTAGGCGGAATTAGAACAATAACGTAGACTAAATAAAATGTTCGGTTCGAAATTATACCATCTGAAAAAGGCCGGGTCGTACAACGGCCGAAATGTCGAGAATATGGAAATAAAGATGAGAAAGAATTAAATTATATAAATAGTGTAAATAGCCATTGTTGTAGATACACATGTGTTTGAGCTGAATTATTCAAAGACATGTTGTATGTTGCACTATAGAGTTCCATGTGTTATATAGAGGCACAGCTTCAACATTCTGGGTTTGATGCTATGAGTTCATAGACGCCATTGTCTTTGGAGGTTTGTTTAGAGACCAAGTTAATTTTCAGTTCTCTATTATATGTTTTGAAACTATATATATTTAACTAACCTTTTGTTTATTTAATTTTTCTCTTTCATCGACGCCATTGTCTTTGGAGGCTTGTTTAGAGACCAAGTTAATTTTCAGTTCTCTATTATATGTTTTGAAACTATATACATTTAACTGTCTTTTTGTTTTTTTAATTTTTCACTTTTATTGACGCCATTGTCTTTGGAGGTTTGTTTAGAGACCAAGTTAATTTTCAGTTCTCTATTATATGTTTTGAAACTATATATATTTAACTATCTTTTTGTTTATTTAATTTTTTCTCTTTTCATCGACGCCATTGTCTTTGGAGGCTTGTTTAGAGACCAAGTTAATTTTCAGTTCTCTATTATATGTTTTGAAACTATATACATTTAACTGTCTTTTTTGTTTTTTAATTTTCACTTTTATTGACGCCATTGTCTTTGGAGGTTTGTTTAGAGACCAAGTTAATTTTCAGTTCTCTATTATATGTTTTGAAACTATATATATTTAACTATCTTTTTGTTAATTTAATTTTTCTCTTTCCCAGACGCCATTGTCTTTGGAGGCTTGTTTAGAGACCAAGTTAATTTTCAGTTCTCTATTATATGTTTTGAAACTACATATATTTAACTGTCTTTTTGTTTTTTTAATTTTTCACTTTTATTGACGCCATTGTCTTTGGAGGCTTGTTTAGAGACCAAGTTAATTTTCAGTTCTCTATTATATGTTTTTGAAACTACATATATTTAACTGCCTTTTTGTTTTTTTAATTTTTCACTTTTATTGACGCCATTGTCTTTGGAGGCTTGTTTAGAGACCAAGTTAATTTTCAGTTCTCTATTATATGTTTTGAAACTACATATATTTAACTGCCTTTTTGTTTTTTTAATTTTTCACTTTTATTGACGCCATTGTCTTTGGAGGCTTGTTTAGAGACCAAGTTAATTTTCAGTTCTCTATTATATGTTTTGAAACTACATATATTTAACTGCCTTTTTGTTTTTTTAATTTTTCACTTTTATTGACGCCATTGTCTTTGGAGGCTTGTTTAGAGACCAAGTTAATTTTCAGTTCTCTATTATATATTTTGAAACTATATATATTTAATTATCTTTTTGTTTTTTTAATTCTTCTCTTTCATAGATGCCATGGTCTTTGGAGGCTTGTTTAGAGACCAAGTTAATTTTCAGTTCTCTATTGTATGTTTTGAAACTTTTTGTTGTTTTTTTTTAATTTTTCTATTTCTTTTTTTCGGGAAGGATCACTTATTACATACCCACTCTGTTTTTGACTTTTGAGTTGTCTTTCTACACTTGTTACCAACAGAAGCTAGAGAGCCCAGTTTGCTTCGCAATTAACCCATAGCGGGAGGGGAAGGGATAGATTCATACGTTTCCAAGCATATTTGTGCGAAGGCGACTGCAACACTATCGGTTGGAATTTAGAAATCAAAAACGCCAGACTGCGTTAAGAACCTCTATGCTACATGAACAATTTTTTTTTAATAATTTCATTCCAAGCAAGGCGATAAAGTCACTACGACGCAAAGTATTAGAGAATATGAAAAAAAAGAAAACATTATTAAGAAAAGTGTACAATTAATTCACACATGCCCGTCAATTAAGTGGCTCGCTACCCTACCCTGTCTTTCTTGCTCTCAATATTCTGCGTGATTGATAAATTTTCATTGTGAGTTCAAACAATTTAAGCTGTCCATTCCTGATACTGAGTAGAGTTCTTTCTTTTACCATTTTCTTTAAGACTTCCTTGTTGCTTACTCGCTCGTTCTGTAGAATTTCTAGTATCTTATTGTTTTTAATCATTTCACAGCAAACAAGGCAATAAAGCCACTAAGATGCAAGGGTTACTGAATATAACATGGCTAGATAGATATGATTTGACTCAAACATGAATTGACTCAGATGTGATTTGACACAGATACTAATCGAGATATAAGGATATATATATAAGAACTGTCTCAGATAGATATAATTAGGCTCAGATAGATAGATAGATAGATAGATAGATAGATAGATAGATAGATATGAATTGACTCAGATAGACATGAATTGACAGAGATATGATTTCGATCAGATAAGAATAATAGATTGTCATAGATATTTTGATATGCCTTGACTAAGACCTATAGAGAGCTATAGATTGACTAGGATAGACAGATACGAATTGACTCAAATACATATGAATTGTCATCGATAAACAGATAGATAGATATGAATTGACTAAGATATATATATAGATAGATAGATGCATTTACTAAGATTTATAGAGAGCTATGGATAAACTAGGATACACAGATACGAATTGACTCAAATAGATATGAATTGTCATAGACTGATCGGTAGATATGAATTGACTAAGATAGATAAATATGCATTGACTAAGACCTATAGAGAGCTATAGATTGACTAGGATAAATAGATATGAATTGACTCAAATAGATATGAACTGTCATAGATAGATATCAATTGACTAAGATAGATAGATAGATAGATAGATAGATAGATAGATAGATAGATAATCTACAATTTTCTCCCCGTCGATAATATTGCGCAATTGAAACAACTTACATGATTTTCAGATGCGTTCAAGAATGAAATTTAATGTAAGTGTTTGTGTGGGTAGCTCATTTGTCCAAGGTCTTTGTCCAAGGGCCCTGCCCAGAATCCCCACTTACATCCCGGAAGCTGACCAGACCTCAGCATCTAAGTAGGGCCACTTCATTCTTCTTATTGCTCACATAGCAAAATAGTGGTGGTCTAGTTTTTTTTTTTCTTCCAAATGTCCTCATAAAAATGAAAGAGAGAGAAAACACATCGCTTCCTGGTATCCATTGAAGTCTGCAAGACGCCGAGGTTAAAAGAAATAGTCACTCACCCAGAAATTTGACACGGTAAATCGACTATTATTTTTACACATGCAGGGACATTTAGTGGCGGGATGAAACTAATCAAGTATTTTTTTTTTTACACTACATTATTCGGACTATTGTCCTCATCTTTGTCGCCATATTTATTACAACGTTTTGGCCGTTGTACGCTCCGGCCTTCTTCAGGTGGTTGGAATGTCGAACTGAACCCTTTATTTCGCTCACTGGGGTAGACTGTTCTAGTTCCACGTGCCATGTTTAATGGATATCAGATATCAGTTATCTCCTGTTAATTTTGCCCTCTGAAAGTTCTCCACTGCCTTAGCCGGGTATTGAACTCACACTCTTTGGGTTATGTCACTGGATCTAACCAACGCCTTTATCCACTGTACTATATGTACTTCAGGACAGTGGATAAAGGTGTTGGTTAGATCCAGTGACAGGACCCAAAGAGTGTGAGTTCAATACCCGGTTAAGTCAGTGGAGGTTGATTTGAGAGTTTACTGCCTAGCCTCCAAGTGCATATCCGCGCCATACAGGATGTCAGTAGTTGAACCAGTCAGATTCATATGATTGATTCAGCTGCGCATAGTAGTGAAAAAAAAAAGTATAACAGGTCAAGATATAAACACATCTTACACCAGGGGTCGGCAACTCATTCGACCCCGCGGGCCGGATCGTGTTATAATGACGGGTCGCGGGCCGGACGAAGGACATTAATGAAAAATGAAGGAAAATTACATATGCAGACCCCCTGTCAACCTAAATATTTAAAACCATAATGAAAATAAACATTGAGAAATCAGAAAAAAACAAAAGAAAATCTAAAATTAAAAAAACACTTAACAAAAATTACTTTTCCTCAAGGAAAGTCAAAATACTTCAAAGTGAAAAAAATCAACCGAAGTGAAAATGGATGAAATTATGACGTGTAGGTTTGAAATTGTTATTGAAAATTGTTCCACAAACGAACCACACACACACACATCAAACAAAAACGAAGCACATATACCCATACATACGAGTACAAATAGTTGCAAACATATACACTTACATACGTACACAGGCGGTATCATCCACACATTCATGAGGCATGTATGTATAATGTGCGTATGTTTAACTGTCTTTAGATTTCTGCTACCTCGCATGTCAGTCCCTCCCTGGCCTCTTTCACTTTATCGTTCCTTTCGCTTCTGTTATCTTTTAATGTAGCCAAGGGTCATAACAAATATGTATCCATTATTTGACATTAAACGTAGGCAACACAACTTGGTAAAATAAGTCTCATGAAAGATAACTGGCAGATAGTCTAATTCGAAAGCCTCATCTCTCATGTTAAAAATAGAGTCATTGGTAATCAGGCTCGCGGGCCGGTCAAAATGCCTTCGCGGGCCGGATTCGGCCCACGGGCCGTAGGTTGCCGACCCTTGTCTTACACCCACACGAGAATATAGAGTCCATATTTGGTGAAAGCTCCAGGGCCATACTCTCACTGGCCGACGGTTATTGATGAAATCGGGTCTGATATAGCGGTCTAATGTATTCATTTGTAATTTAAAACGACAGAATTAAAATCTGAACATGACTATTCTCGTGACGAAATGCAGGTTCCATTATGTCTATCGATAATCCACACTCCAGAAAAAATTAATAATTCTTTAAGCAGCGTTTTTATTTATCTACTATACCATGTCTTGGAGACTAAATAAAAAAAATTAAGGAAATAAAGTCACTGAGATTCAAGGGGCTGCTGAATGTGAGAGAATATAAGAAAAAGAAAACACTATTAAGGAGAGAGAACCATAAAAGTACAGGAAATGAGACAAAAGATAACGATTGACATTGCATTTACATTTTTGAAGATACCATTTGACTGGAAAGCAAAAAGCAGGAAGAGAGAAGAAAATGTCATCATAGAACTTACGGTTACAACTAGACATGTCAACTGTATATAACAACTTGCCGCCAATCATGGTAGTATGCTTGGATTCCTGAAGTTTAGGAACCAAAGAGAAGAGCTCATCAGAATAATTACCATGAAAATATTTATAGAAAAGCCACAGGGAAAGTGAACTGAAGCCGAGATGACAGTTCAAGACCAATAATATAGCAGATTTTTCTTTGTATTTTATCAAGAATCTCTAAATACAGAACAGAAGCAACAGATCAGATGTGACAGAAATATTCAATGCATGGACCAATGGCTGATTGTTCTTCTGTCGGTGTCTAAGGATATCTTGTTTAGTTCTTATTTTAGCACTGTTCAATTAATGCTCACCTTGTTTCCACTGACATTAAGTCTTCACTACCAGCCCCTGGGATTGAATTCACAATTATTATGTCACATATTCACGAATCAATGCTTTAATCCAATCGGCTATTGTCCGGTGACAGACATGTATTTTTAAAAAAAAGGGTCACTAATAATCTATTTTTATAACCCATTACTACGAGAGTGGAATCTATCGTTCCCCTAAATTTGCAGCCTTGTGCCAGACTAAGCTAAGCTTAATAAATATTTGTAGAAATACGATTTCTCACACATCCTTAGGAGATAAATAGATGAATTCCTTTTCCTTTTAAGTCAATTTAATTACCAGAGTTTCTTAGGAATCTTGTTTCCAGTCCATCTTTTAAGTCAATTTAAAGACCAATGTTTTCAGGAACGCTGTCTCCATCTTTGAATTGGCAAACATAAAATTTTGTTAGTGATTTTAGATAATCATAAAAGTAGAATTCTTGTAAAAACTGACCACCCAAATGTTGAATGGGTGGTCTCCTTTTCCGGAACATAAGTGGGCGGATAGCAACACCACCCGGTGTCTATATAACAGGTAGTTAGTGAGCAGTCAGTGAGGTAGGGGCGAGTGAGCAGTGAGGAGTCAGCAGTCGCCGAGACGGTCAGTGAATGTAAGGGCCCTCTTTCCGTGGCTGGAAGTTAGTAAGATAGCAGTTCACCTTCTCGAAGCCGAAGGAAAACATTGCCGATTTAGTGAGAAATCGTATTGCTTGCTATTTCCCAATCATTGTCTTGAAAAACAATTGTCGTTATTCTTTGTTGAATTCGATTATGGCCAGGATATATATTCATACAAAAAGTACAAATTGTGAGAGATTTTCCAAGCGTAGCTTAAATGTGGCACAAGGCCGAAAGTATGGGGCAGCCAGTGAGGATCGAACTCACTTTTCAGTAGTAACTGATCTAGCAAGACAAGCTTGCTAACCATTACACCACGCCGAAGTTCCCTAAGATGTTCCAAGCGAAGCTTAGATGTGGCATAAGGCCGAAATCATGGGGCAGCCAGTGAGGATCGAACTCACTTTTCAGTAGTAACTGATCTAGCAAGACAAGCTTGCTAACCATTACGCCACGCCGAGGTGCCCTTGTGATTTTCTAAGCCCGGCTTAGATGTGGCACAAGGCCGAAAGTATAGGGTACCCAGTGAGAATCGAACGCACTATTCAGTCGTAATTGTTTTAGCGAGACAAGCTTGCTAACCATTACACCGCCTCGAGGGGCCCAAATTCGATTATGGCCAGTGAGACAAGTCTGGCACCATAATGAGTCGGGTGTATATACGCATATAGCCGACCTTGGGATTCATGAGAGTAGCGCAGTGCGGAAAATATCGTCACATATTTATATAAGCGAATCAGGGCCCGTTTACGGCCACGCAGTTTTTATTTATATTTATCCAGTTTAGATTGTCCAGGACAAATAGCGAAAGTGGGAGATGGAAAATTATACAGCGTCAAATAGCCGATTGGTGAGGCGTCTTCCCAAACTTTAGCCTACGGTCGAATCATTCTGAAAACACCGTTTCTCGTTCGATCACCGAAGTTAAGCAGCATCAAGTACTGCCAATAGTTAGATGAGGGTCAGCTTGGAAACACCACGCATTGTTATAACACCAGCTATTGATTAAATAGTAAAACTTTTAAAAAAATCATTGTTAATCTCGAAAAACTTCTTATTGCAATGTTCACTCGCAGAAAATAATTGTTCCTAAAATCCGAAATATATTCCGACTTTAAGTAACCCACTAGGGTTGATAAACCGTAAAAAACGTATCAATCAATCCTAGCCTTTAGAAGCGGCATTTGAAAATGCTTGTTTAGCCTCAGTTATTATCACTAGAGGAATATAAATATAATATATGCTGGCTGGCTGCTTATTTTCGATTACGTCCTTCTGCTAGGATGGTTAACTAATCTCTATCATTATTTGCATTATTTACATTATTCGGACTGTTATCCTCATCTTCATTGCCATATTCACAACGTTACGGCCATTATACGTTCCGGCCTTCTTCAGATGATTGGATCTCTGAGATGAGTTATTATGATTACTTATATTATTTACATTATTCGGACTGTTATCCTCATCTTTATTGCCATATTCACAACGTTACGGCCATTATACGTTCCGGCCTTTTTCAGTTGATTGGAATTTCGAACCAAACATTTTATTCCGTCCACCGGGGTAGATTGTTCTAGTTCCATGTGTCATACCTCTTCCGGATGTTTCAGTTCTTTCCCTTTAATTCAACTCTCCGAGTTTTGGTCCACCACTGCTGTGCCCTGTTATTGAACTCACAACTCTTTCCATCTAAACAACCTTTTTATCCACTGGGCAATGTCTCCACAAGGAAAGGGAAATAACAGAGACATCCGGAAGAGGTTATGGTACAGATAATCTCTGTCAGTTGATAACTTGATTGATTTGTTTTTTGGGGTTTTTTTACGACTTTTGGGGAGATAAAAGTGATCTACTGATACAAGTAATAATAAACCCGTAGCTGGGGGGGGGGTAGAGGAGATGAGATGGATTTTTATGCTTCCCAAGGATATTGGAATTGAAACGCGGTTCACCGACTTCAAATTCCGAAAATTTATCTTTTACACCACCCGCACATCCAAACTTACACGACCTGGAATTCCCAAGCGGTCACCCATCTAGGTACTGACCAGGGTCAACGTTGCTTAGATCTGGTGATCTCATGAGAACTGGTGTCCCAACGTGATATGGCCGTAAGCCAATGACGGTTTTCAAGTAACTGATATAGTGTGGAATAAAGAAAAACTAGTCGTTAATAATCTCTGAAAATGTTTTATCTAATAATAGTATTTTCAATATTATACTACTGCTAAGACTACTCTTGCAGGGCAGTCAATCTGGGGAATTTATGGTCTATTAGAGTGGCTAGCTAATCCCTACTGCAGACATAGGCTCAGGAACATATTTCTTCAACAGCTACAGAGCCAGCCTGTAGTTTACACTGCAACTATGCGTGAGCAGAACTTGCAGTTTCTAGGATAGATTGCATAACCTATTGTAAAAATTAGTTGAGCAGAGCCAGTAAGCACAAGCTATTGATCATAATGACTTGTGACGAGCAGGCAAACATGTGCCAACTCACGCACAAATCAATAAATGAATATATACTGACCGGCTACTCTTGTTTTCCGTCTTCACACGTCAGCGAAGGCGGTTCGACAATCGCTGGCACAGATACATGCTCAGGCGCATTCGTGTTTTTTCAACACTATCAGAGACCACCGTTTTTGAAAACGAATATACCGCAAGCAAATGCCACTATGAAACAAGGGCTTACTGGGTATGAAAAAAAAAGGAAAGCAGAAACATTACCAAAGAAGAACAGCACTAGAAGACGGAACTGTTTGAAAGCCGTCGATAGTTATAGTAGCACGAAATTACAAGTCAGCGTGATCGATATTTTGAGCCTACTGGTCTTGTTCAAACCACTGATCACGCTACATTATGAGCTCTCTCCCAGAAACTGTAACTAAGGTCTAACATAGTTGCTGTATAAAACACGGGTGGGCTTTGTTAATGTTGAAGAAGCACAAATGCTACGACAGCCATTTGTTAAAGTCTCTAGCATATGGATGTACACATGAAACAAGAGTAGCGAGCTATTACACACTCGTGCAAATTAATTAAAACAAGACGAATAATCCCGTTAATATTTAATTTTTCGTAGTTTTCCAATGAAACATGACCCAGTGTAGATATTAGTGCTTCGTATGTTCATTGCAGTTGTTCCTTGCAGATTGACCACGGATTCTCGACTGGATTTAAATCAGGAGAATTTCCGGACCAATCTATAGTACTTTGATTTGCTCACTGGTAAGGCTAGCCAGTGTGTTTGTGCAGCGTTACAATTTTCCTACGCTTCCCTGGAGTAACGTCCATCGCAGACATTGACCGTAGGACAACTAATCGACAGTCGAGACAATAGTGTTTGGGCGTGATAAAACTCTGATGCAGTCACGGTTGACGCAGTATTTTTCAATACCAAAGAAATTTCATCATACACCCTGAAAATAGATTCATATTACTGCACACCACCGCAAATGGATTAAAGGATTACCCCCTCTCATACTAGTGAGTCTAAAACTGACCGTATGTTGAAAGAAAGGAAAATTAAATATATTGTTTTAATTAATTTGCACAAGGGTGTAAATTCTTGTCACAAAATACAATCCTCACATTTGCCTTGGTAGAGTCCCTCAGAGGACGAAACGCGTTGGCTAAGATATGATTTCCTTTTGCCTTTATATTTTGTATTTATATTTTGTTTCATATTACTGCATGCCACTGCAAATGACCTTATCTGAAGAAAAAATAGAAATCGATTATACCCTGTCACTCCAGTAGGTCTAAAACTGACCGTAGAGTGAAAGAAAGAAAACTAAAGTGGTTGTTTCAATTAATTTGCACAAGGGTGTATTTATTTAGTAGTGCGTGAGCAGGTACACGGTTGCATGGGTAAATGTGGACGAGAGAGGGTAAGCTTGACGGACAATTCTACGGCCGGCAGGTAAACGAACGTTTAATCGAAATGAGGATTGGTTTATGAACCTATTGACATTTGATCAATGAAGACCAGGTTGGTTGGTTGGTTGGTTGGTAAGGTTGGCTTCATTTAGAAATAATGCCATTGTTGAAAGGGTCGGGTTTGTTCGGAGACAATGCCAGATTTGAAAAGAGCTTCAGCGCACATTGAATCGAATAAAGAAGAAGAAGAAGAAAAACAAAAACAAAAAAAAAAAAAAGGGTGGACGGGAAGGAAGAAGGTGAAACCGGAAAGAAGATGAGAAAAAGAAGAAAGATTAAAAATGAATAAGTGAAATTTAAGATCTGGTAAAAAAAAAAAAAAAAGAAAGAAGCTACAAGACAAAAGAAGAAAGAAAACAACGAAAACTAAAAAAAAAAAAAAAAAAAAAATACAATCGGATTGGGAGAAGACACTGAGAAGACACACTGAGAAATGAATCACATCAAAGACACACAGATCACACATGCAAAGAAACACGTGAGTAGCATTCGAGCACTGACTGACCACACCCAAAGGTACAAAGAATAAATAATCAATACCCAGTCACGTTGACCATTACATCTGAACTCGATACTCACTGGGTGCCCTAAGCACGTGGCCTTTTACCAAACTGAACTTGGTGTGATCTAATGGTTAACAAGCAAGTTAGAGTGATCATTAATACTGACTAATGAAGTCGATCTTCACTGAGTGCTCCATACTTTCGGCCTTGTGCCACATCTAAACTACGCATAGAAAATTGCTTGTGGCCTTGTACCAAATTATGCTATTATCAATGACGTCAGCTGGGCGTCTTGGAGTAGGGTAATGGTTAACGAGTCTGGTTGATCGTTAATATTGAGTTCGATGCTCACTGGGTGCCCCACACTTCTGGCCTTGTGCCAATGCCATCTAAGCATAGTAAAATAATATGTTTATATTCGGTCAAGGACTGTTTTGGGGGTCTTCCTCTCTCAACAAATACAAATTTTATAATTGACAAGGTATGGCACAAGGACACTGCTACGAAAATAGGATCTGTTTGGCAATGAGCCAGAACTTATACAGTGAGGAAAACCGTCTGCATACGAACCGAAACTAAACTGAGTTTTTGTTTTTCTTTTTATTACAGTAGGGTTGTCCCTGTACAAGGCCCGGCAGCCACTCGAGGTAGAGGGTTACGTTAAGGTGTTGCTTATATGGATAGGAGAGAAAGATAAACGTTGAAGCTCGACTTGAACAGGTTAAGACTGTAGTGATCGCGGAAACATCATCTTGAAGATTTTTTCCATAGGGTAGTGGTTCGCGGGAAGAAGCTGTTCGAGTGGAACTTACTTCTTACCGATGGAATACGGAGAGAATGTGGTTTGCTACTATGTGAGTGGCATGGCGGGTCCTATCCGTGAAGGTCGGAGCTAGTGGAACCAGGAGATGCGGTTTGTCCGAGCATTTTCCATGATAGTAGCGACAGAGCAGCGAGGAACTCACAACGTCTCGCCTGTGAGAGTGAGGCTGGAGGGTAGGAAATAATTCTTCTCCAACAAAGACTCGGAGACGCTTTTAAACTCCTATCAAGACTGAAAAGGGAGATCTGGGCTCATCCTGCCCAAATATGGCAACAGTAGTTCATTTTCGGCCTGATCTGGCTCTTACAAAGGTAGAGGATAACATGAGGAATCAGGTACTTACTGGAGCGGTACAGGTAGGCGATCATTTACGAGGTATGTTACTAGCTTTTCTTTTTTTTTACAGTAAGGTTCACCCTGTACAAAGCCCGAGAGCCACTCGAGGTAGAGGGTTACGTTAAGGGGTAGTTTATATGGATAGAAGATAACGGATGACTCTAGACTTGAACAGGTTAAGATTGTACTGATCGGGGAAAATATCCTCTAGGGAGTCTGTTTCACAAGTCAGTGGTTCGCGGGAAGAAGCTGTTTGAGTGGAGCTTACTTCTCGCCGATGGAACACAGAGGGAATGAGGGTGGTGTGTTACTGTGTAAGTGGCATGACGCGTCCTAACCGTGAAGGTTAGACATGATAGAACCAAGAAATGTCGTTCCTCCGGGCACTTTCCATGGTAGTAACGATAGGGCAGTGAGAGACTAGCCATATACCGCCTGTGAGAAAGAGGTTGGAGGGTGGAAAATAATTATTCTCCAACAAGGACTCGGGGACGCTTTTCAACTGGCAAGTGAGGTCTAGGCAGCTCCTGTCCAAATATAGCAACAGTAGTTCATTTTCGGCCTGATCTGGCTCTTATAAAAGTAGAGGTTAGCATGAGGAGTCAGGTACTTACTGGAGCGGTACATGGAGCCGATCATTTTACTTGCATCTTTAGCGATGGATCGTATATAGGAATTCCACTTGAGGTCGGGTGTTAGTTTCAGGCCCAAAATCCTTTCAAGGCACGGGGCCTCCTCGAGCGGAAATCCGTTCATCGTGACTGGCGGTGGTTCGAGGTCTGATCGACGGTGATTGAATGTAACCAGTTTGGTTTTAGAGGTATTGAATGTAACCAGCCAGTTTTTTTCCTCACTGAGTTGTTTTATATCAGGAGAGAGGTCAGCTACCAATCTCTGATCATACCCTGCATTATTAAATTCCGCCGACTACTGGTTGATAGAGCAGTTTCATTATTGGTTGTTTTTTGTTTTTTTTTTTCTTCCGAACTCTAACATCCCAGGACAGTCGTTTGCCAATCGATCACCTGCGGTTTCATGATCAATAAAATCCTTTCTTATTATGAGGATGTGTCATCGGCCTTTTAATATATTTGTTTCACATAACTGTATTCAGTGCTGAAATACGAATCAGTTTGAATGTTCAATGGCGTCTGTCACGGCGTTCTCTCTATCGACGATGTTAAATGTAACACTCCGTTGAATATTGGCAAACAAGAAACATTTCGCTTGATTCGATGCCATCGGGAATCCGAGCAGTTCTGTCTTTGAATGGAAAGAGTTTCGAAGACCCATAAAGTGAAAGAAATCATTATGCGTGAATGAAATATATGAATATTCTGATTTGATTTCGTTCCTGTCCTAACAAAGATGGACGATTGACTGAATTTATGATATACAGTTATGTCGCCATTATGTGTTTTATTTATTAATATATATATGTGTGTGTGTGTGTGTGTGTGTGTGTGTGTGTGTGTGTGTGTGTGTGTGTGTGTGTGTGTGTGAAAAGTGTA